TATTATCACCACTGCTGCGACTTCTACCATTATCATTATTACTATCATTATCATTTATTATTACCGTTATTTATTATCATATCATTATATTATTATCACATTATCGTACTTATTATTACTTATTATTCATTATTATATTACTATTTATTACTATTACCGTTACTCTTACTAAGGTTAATATAAAATCAATCTAAACAACACGAAACTCAACCATGACAATAACAACGATTAACAAAAACAACAATCCCACAATCAGATCGCCACCCAGAGTGATAAGACGAACGCGAATCCGCGAGCAACTGTTTTTTGCTGCGAACACCAACAATCAACGAAAGACATTGTACAAAAGCAAGCAAAGAAGCGAACGTCGTTCATTCAATATGATAAATGTATTCGTTCTAAAGTTAATTTGACGTAATTTATCTTAATATCTTATCATGTTTTATGGACAGAATATCTTTTGTTCATTTCGATTCGTTTGTTCTTTTTGCTTCGTTGCAAACAAAAAATTTGAGAGAATTACATAATTCACTTTGAACTATCATCGTTTCGATGCATATATTTTACTGGATGCGAATTATTCGAATGGCAAGGCAAATAATTCTAAAAACTTAACGCATTACGTTCGTTAACTAAAAACCAAAGAAAAGAATGATGGTATGTGAAGAAATGACGAAAAATGACAAAAAATTAATCATCATAAAAAATTACTTCACATGAAATACCCTTTCGAACAACTTCTCGAATCGACACTTAAGCTGATACCAACTCAGTTTTTAATCTACTTCTACTTATATCTACAATAAGCACCCAACAAAAGTAAACTTTCTATTCAGCAGTGAATTCGACTAACCGATGTTATTCAACACATACATAAAGTTATACGTATATTTGATCTTTCTACTCTATTTCATTTAATACAAACGATTATCATATTATAAAGGACGGAACGATTTATGTTAAAATCAATAAACAAATCATCCAACACCATTACCCTTTGATAACTATCAACAAAACTGAATAATCAATTATTTAAAACCTTTACTATACAAATTGTCGTCTCAAATTATGTCCTTCTCGATTACAAATCGTTTTCTATTGTGAATCGTCAACTGAAGTCGAATTTACTTTCCACTAGGCTCTACCTCAAGTAACCACTTCCACTTCTGTTTTTATTTATAAATGCATTTTTAACAATATACGACAAACGAATTCAACTTCAGTTGACGATATTTCACCGTATTTTTTCCAGTACTTTATTAAAAACAAAGTTTATTTGTTTCTAGCTTAAAACAGATTCTATTAACCATATATTAATAAAAATTCATATATAAATACAACACAGAACTGCAAACACGGTTATTTGTGGTTTTGCCTAGTGACACGTAAAGTAAATTCGACTCAAGTCGTCTCTTCGCGAACCAATTACAACAACCTAAGGTGAGGTGTACCTGTGCTATGTAGTAGTGATGGGATCCGAGTGAAATTTCGATCGGTCGAATTCGACCGAGTTGGCATTTCGTCATTTCGACAGTCGGAATTCCGATCGACTCTCCAAACTGCTCGGTCGGAATCCACCGTCGAAATTCCGATCGAAACTATCAGATTTTTCCGACCCACTGTCGGTCGGATCCCATCACTACCATATAGTAAAGGCACAAAACATTTAAGATTATCGAACCTGAACTGTTATCAAGTAAACTTAATCACTTATCAATGTATCCTTTGCTTGTCACAGAACAATCAATAGAAAGGTTTAAATGAGAAATGAGACTTTTGAATAAAAACAACAAATCACTCATTGTCAGTGAAATGTTTTGATGACTGTTGAAGACACAGCACTCAATTATGTCTTCCTCAACTCATCCATCTCGAATCCCAACTCTAGCTGCCAGCTTGCCAGCTCGATCTTCTCAATTTAACATGAACAAGTTCAAGTTTACAACAACGACAACAACAAAACAACAAGACCACTAACATACTAGCGAAATAACTCGGAAATATGACATTTGGATGCATCATTCACGATTACGAAGAAACTTTAAGACAATTCTTACAACCTAACACATTTACAACCAACTTTTGCAGTTTAAAATTTTAATTTTAAAAATCTCACTTCAGTGCTTCACGTTCAACAGAAAAAAGTTAGAGAGAAGGTTTCGTTGTTTTGTTTCTTAAAAATCAAAATTTCACCAACAAATCAAATCTCTCTCTAAGTGTTTCCATTTCACACGGAATCTTTCAATTCTCCTATTGTTTTTATTGAATCTACTTTGTCGGCGGCATTTTCTTAACAACCCCACACAATCTCGTTAATTTGTAGAACAAATTTATTTGAGAGCACTTTACGAATCTCGTCGTTAACAGTTTAATGGTTACGGTTTATTTGAGAAATTGGAAAGTGGACTAATTTTTAAGATGGATCATTTCGAACTTTGCTAAAATCACGCTCAGTTTATGCTCGTAAACAACATTGCTCGAACTCGAACTCGTCACTTACTAACTCTGCTAATGAAAGTACCCAAAAATTCTTCGCATTTTAACTCAATCAGCTCGACAACTTTATATTGTTTCTTTCAATTTCAACAAAAACAACCACCGAATGATGTACGATGAACATCAATGAAACAACCAACAGCCCAAACAACCAGCCCATACGCGTAGCCCACCCAGAATCTGAATTTCGACGAAAAAATTTGCTCAAAATCAAAATCAAAAACGCCAGAGCCGCCATACATCAAAAAATCTTCTTCATAATATCAGAATTTTCAATTCTTCAAAATAAGATCTGCTTCTTAAGTGATGAGTGATTGTGCAGACATGACCTCAGCTGGAATGTGTTTTCCAACTTCCAAATGTATTCAATCAAAGATAACACAGAACAACAGATACGATAGACAAGATGAGGCAATGAGAAGAGTTTGCGATAATGATCAATGAGATGCTCTTCATTTCGGCTGTAATCAATTTTCGCCAAATCAAACGCTTGAAAATTTTGTGGTAAGGGTTTATTTTCGATCGAAAAAAAAAACAACAAGAAAGTGAGCTACCTCGACGATGGTCTCACATTCAATTTGCTCGTTTGTTTGTATGCTTACTTTTTTTCCGCCTCAGTCTTTCAGCTCAATAGTAATTTGCCACAATGAAATATTGATTTCAGAGCACATAAATTTATAAAACTTTCCATTTTCCAGCCGCAATTTCATTGCTCAGAATATGAGAATTTATTGCCATTTCATTGGTAGGCAAGTTGACGTAAACAAATCCACACTTCGAGCAAAAAATACAAATCTATATACATATATCCACACATTTAGACCACAATTCTTCAAGATTAATGCATCAGATAAAACCGCACAACTTCACTGTCCCACAGAAGAGGGGCATAAAATTGGATTCAATGGGAATAATATTTCTGCTGCATCTGTTGGCTGAATGATGAACTAACTTTAAGAAGTGAAACTTCAAGAAGTGAAGCTCATAATACTCATTCGGGATAGACTCACAGGCTTACCATAATTATGTAAATTCAAAGAAAGAACCAGTCATTCTTAAGCTAAACCTCACGGTTCAAAACCGTGACTTCAAATATGAGCAGTGTTAAAGCGTGATCCTCGCTGCTAGTGGCATTAATCAATCGTTTTTACGTATATAAATAATAATTCTGACTATTATTATTCTCGAAACAAGATCCATGCTATCATCCAAACCGTTCAGGTGGACATCAATACAAAACCAATTCCTAATAAACGAACGAATGAAATTTCCTAACAAACAACTACACAAACTTCTTGAGACATTTACATACACCAACACAAATGTTCTACAAAACAAGTGAAAATTCAATAATAACAGATAAACCATACAAGTCACAAACGAATAATCACTATTAGATCACCACTTCCGTACTCCTAATCATAAACTTCAATTCATTCAACAAAATCCACCTTCCACCAACATATACAACATATCCACCAAATCCCAATAACTTCATTTTGCTTATACCTACTGCCATCGCTATCCATCGAAAGAAATAAATGTATTTATAAAGCATCGCAGCTCTAAGTATTCAGAAACGATATAACCGTAAACTATATTACTAATAAAACGATCGAATCAACTAACAAAGATAATCTATCGAACCAAACAGACACTGACTATTCCACGGAATCATTAAGTCGATGGTGTGAGAACACGAATAATTGCTTATGATACATCATTTATTGTAAAATAGCTGTTCAGACTGCATCAATTCCTTCTCACAATAACAGCAAAAAACATACAAACAAACTCACTCGAATTTTCAGAAACATTAACGTCGATGAGTTATGAGGCGCTTTTTGGGATGCAGCGGCGGCGGCGATAACGATTTGAACGCTGATTACAACAAACAGAAATTAGCAAAAAGTTGATAAATGCGTTTCTTAATGTGACGGACGAGATTCGTTGACGCGATCCACTCTGGTGTGTTTAATGGGTTTTGTAAAGTTTTAATCTATGACGATGACGAATCAGCACTCAGAAGAAATGTTCTTCTTTTTGCGAACAAAAACAATCAAGAACACATAATTTTCTACGAAAAGTTCCACCCTTTGCTTGCTTTTTTTCGACGAGAATATAGCCAAGTGCATATGCAAGATATGCTACGACGGATGGTGATTTCGCTTTTTCAAATCATTTCAATACGAGCAAGAATCGCGAATCGCTATCGAAATCGAATGCTTCACTTGAATGGCCAATCAGAAGAAGTGATAAAGAGTAGAAGAAATGATAAAATGTTTGGCTATTAGAGGAAGAAGAATGAGAAGAAGCAAAAAGACCAGTAACAGTCAAAAGCATTTAACTACAAACATAAAGCTCAAAAACTTCGATGATGAATCAAAATAACCACAAAAAATCAAAACAACATTAAGAAAGGGAACCAAGTAATGCTGCTCAAATTCATATTCAATAAAATAATCAAAGAATGACTCAACCGAACTCATTAAAACTCAAATCTATCAAATCAACCAACGGAATTCACTCAAAATATCAATCACCGAGCAAATAATGAATAATATTTGCAATCGTAACCAACCTTGAGGCATCAGATATTGCTGTTGGTAAGTTCGTCGTCCCATCGCTGCGGCATTCTTCATATGGATCGGCAGTCCTCTCATATCACTGATCATCGATTCAGAATCCGTCGAAATCACTGAAACTGAACAACACCCTCAAACGTTGCAAAGCCGATTGCTGTGACTTAAAATTGAAGATTCCACGAACAAACATCGATAGAATATTATTTTAAAAAACCATCTTAATCAATTTCTTAATCAAAACATACTGCTTTGATCGAATTGCTGTACTGCCTGTCGATATGCGACAGTACCGACCGGATAAAGAGCTGGTGCTGGACCGGGTACCTGAAACATTCAACATCGTTAACAACGGAGATGATAATTTAATAATTCTGGTTATAACATAACGAATAATAACAGATAATAGATAATAGATAAAAGCCGGATCATAGCCTGCTGGCTCAGGCTCACAACATTAATGATATTGGTACACCACTCGGTTTTGAGCAGAACTTTCCTCTGCGAACGATAATAACATAATAAACAATATCGAAGACAACTTTAATAACAATAAACGAACTTAAAAAACCAAATGAACCATAACTAAATGAATGAACCTACCAAATGATGACGGGCAGCCTTCAACGGAAGACCAGTGGAACCATCCGAATGACTGCTTCCTTCAGACGTCAGCAAAAACAATTCGAATTGTCCATTCGCAGATCTATACAATCGCTCATTCTCATCACGTATTTCCACTTTCACTTCCCT